GCCGAGGGAGAGGACACGGTCATCCAGTGCCACCGCCGACGGCATCCATTGTTGCCGTGGATGGTAGAGGAGGCGTCCGTCGCGGGCGGACTCCACGTGCCACGGGCGGTCCTGTCCGTACCGCCAGTGGAGGACGTGACCATTTCGGTGGACGGAAACAATTCTCTCACTGTCGCCCGTCAGCCACCACCCATGGGATGGATCAGGAGTGAATGACGCACCGGTGGGCGGTGAGCAACGCCATGGCCGAGGGGGTGTGCCCCCCGGCGGCGTAGCGAAACCCTCCACGGGCAGGCGGTATGGGGGACGCCTCCCGGCCAACCGTGGCATCCATGCTGAAAGCCGGGTGGCTGACCCTGGTCTCGGTGACCGGCCGTGGGCGCGGGGCGGTGGATGGGCACACTGAACAGCCCCGCTCACGGGTCAGAACGTTTCACTCGTCGAAGTTGGAGGTATTGTATGAAGTGTCGCTTGGACAACGACGCTGGATAGCTCCCACTCCCGACCAGAGACCGAAATCGTTCTCATATAACGTCGGCCGCAGCCCCCCCGGCTAAAGCGACCAAGAGTACATTTGATGAGACCCGAAAATTCGACGTCAACAGAACGCACCACCATGCAGTGAGACCACGAACCGGGCCTCCACTCAGGTCCAAGATTCCACATCGTCGCGAGCAGCAGTGTTTTTTATGCATCACCGTCAAAAAGAGACTCTCCGAGGGACAGGGTGGAGATCCCGGATCGACAGTGTGGCCATCGTGGCGGAAACTGTGGTCAAGTCGCAATTTCCATGAGCAGAACATTCTCGCCAGTGACCGAATTCTTCCGTCCATGAATGGCTTCCTTTCCAGGACCGGGCGAGCAGAGATTCTCCCGTAATTTACTGTAAATTACCTCGTGCACCACCTTCTCGTTTGGACGAATCTCGATCTTGTAGGGACCGGGAATACGGGGTCCCACAACGGGCAGGGTGCATTCGCCAGCGACTATATGCAGGTAACCAACTCCTTCACATGACCAACCACAAGGTTTATCTACTCACAATTATCGAGTGAGCTAGATACTGTACGACAGTGGGGTTTGTATGACCGAGTGGCCTTTCTACTCCCCTCGCTCTCACCGGTTTTCTCCATCGCTTGCGCTTCGAAACCATTCAGTCGTTCAGATTCCCCTTCGCTCAAGTCCTCGACCCCCCGAATCACGGCCAACGGCGACGTACGGGAACTGGACTCAGGTGCTCAATTCATGTCTCCGACCTCGAACCTAGGCCGCGTTGAATGCCCTTCTCGGGTGGCACTCAACCTCGCCGCGCCGGATCGATACCTTGGAGTGACAGATTGTCCAACACTTCCTCCGCCCGGAAGACTCCCAGCCCATCCCGTTTCAAGTGCCCAGATTGAAACCCCAGCTCGAAGACGATGACGCCGGGACCCAACTGCGTGAGATACTTCTGGACCTGCTGTTTTTCCTTCCCGGCGACGAATGGATTCTTGGGAAATCCAAAGTAGTGTTTGTACTCGACCCAGTGGCAGAGCTGACCACATAGAAATACCGGTGACGCAAAGAAGATGTCGGGCGTGGCTCGTGGCACCCAGCCTCTCGCCTCGGCTTGCTCCCGTTGCTCGACCTCGCGGAGGAAATGATATCCCATGTGTCGGAAACGCTCCACGAAGGAATCTTCCGAGAGTTGGGCACGTGCCGCGCGTTGCTGTTGTTGTACTCGCCGGAGCTCTGTGCCCTCCGGACCGCTGTCGGGAGGGTTCAGGCGGCGCGCCGCCTCCATCAGTGAGAGAATGATCATCGGATCCAGAGTGCTCTTCGTCCGCCTGATGACTTCGCTCAATTCGGGCATGTTCGCGCTCCTGCGGCAGAGGAAGGCAAAGACCGGGGAGACGAGGGCTTTCGGGACGCCTCGACCGTGCGATGGAACTGGCGGGAAGATCGGCTCCAACGTGCCACCACCTCCCACAGCGTCGGGGTGCTGGATTGCCCCGGACGCACCCATCCTCATGTCCGGCGTCAATTGCTCAAGTCCTGTGTAGAGCGCCTGAATCGTGATCCGATCTTTAGCGGTGGCATGATGCGCGGAGGACTGGGTCAGATGTTGCTGGAGAGAGGACAGGCCGGCGAACCGTCGATGACAGGCATCACAGTATGCCGAGCCCAGCATTTCGTTCTGAGCCATGAGGACGAAAGGATACAAGTTGCACGGGTTCCAGACGGTGGTGAGGCAATCCCACCTGCGTACGGCTTGAGACACCTCGCTAGTGATCCTCGTGGCAGCGTCGTGGACTGGTGGTGAGGTAGGAGATGGACAACTCACTACATCGTCCGGACGAGTCGATCGGTGACATCGATATAGAGACCTATCACGATGAATGCTCGGGTCATCTGAAGATCGGCCTGACAGGCCATTGGAGCTTGTCCTGGGACCATTATTGGCGCTCATACAGGGGGCCCGTGGGTGTCAGGTGTGAAACTGTAAGTTTACCGGATACAGCACGCTTCAGGACACGGATGGGACACCTATGGAAGTGGTATTTACCGGAGCACACACTGTAGTTTCCGGAGTGGCGAACGACCACTCCTCAAGCACCTGTGCCAGACTGCGGCACGCTCTCGTCTAGTGGGTAGCTGTAGTCCTACTGAGTGGATGTATCCCAACAAGTTCGCCCCAGCCCAACAGATGGGTGTGGTGTGACCCTGTCGACCTGCACCGACAATCGCCTAGTTCCCTCTAGATAAAAGGAAGCCAGAATCAAATATGAGGATCCTACTGGCCTTCAACGTCCAATTCCCAAGCCAACCATTTGATCGAGATGGGGAAAACAAATGGTGCGTGCTCTCCTTTGTGTAGAGACGTTGTCGACTTAGGACGTATCACCACCATCATAGACTCAGAAGCTCAGAAAGGGGGGAGCACCGGCTGGACCGGTGGTTATTGGCTGTGGTGAGCTTGTTCTGGAGTCAATATTTCCCCGAGGCCTAAGTTACTGCTTCAGACAAACGATTCAGGTCATTCATAGTCTCGTCCTCGCTTCCGAGAGCTGCCGCTGGGCTTCCACTCTTCGTGGGGCGTGTGGTGCACAGCTCTTGACCTTTGTACTCTCCTAACTCGAATCTATTCATGGCAATACCTCTACGTCTTCGAGTCAACACCGACATTTCCTGCGCGCTGCGTTCGAGGAACTCCTCCTGCGTCACCCCGACCATTCGGTATACACACCCGGCGCGCGATTTTCGGGCTGGAGTGGGCCGAGAGGAGGACTTGAGCGAGAGTGATCTTGTCTCCGGCAGTCGCTCTTTTCTCGTGCTGTGGGGCGGGAGCGAGCCTACGTATAAATGTTCCAGACTGAATTTCAAAGGCCGCCGTGATGCAGCCGAGCATTGCAATACTTCACGGTGTCATGCGCTGCCTGTTAGGTTAGCTATGTTTTGCTGTACAAGCTTCACCTGAATAATCTCCTGGAGCCGTTGATGGATTGAAAGCGAAAAGGCAAATAAATTGGACCTCCTGGGCTCCATGTTGACCGTGTTTTGCAGCTTTGGAAGTGCCAGCGTGCCAGCAGGCTAAGTAAGTATTTACAACTGAGGCGGCAAGAGCGCTAGTAATATTAAGCTACAATGCCATACGTCTATGGAAGCTGTCTCCCGCATTCTCGCATAAGGCAAAGGAAAAACTTAGTCATATTGTTACTGTACGAATCAAACAAAAAGGGTTGGATAGGCACAGCAGTGTGAATGTCACTTTTTCATCAGGAAGCGAATGTAACGGAAGAAGTTGGCCACAACCATGCTATTGATGCTGCCTTCGGTGCTTCGAGAGGGCTTGATCCTGTTCGGGGTTCTGTTGAATGGTAGAAGGCCAAGAAGCTGGTACCGACAAGGAGGGAGTGGCTAAACATGGTCTCCTTTAGCCTCCCTGACAAGGGCCTGACTTCCCGTCACACATATTTCCTCAATTCGTTCGGTGACAGACATGATCCAGTACGGGGCATTCCGCCACCATGGCTATTTCGATCGCCGCTCTTCATCAATGTGCTCTGCTTCTTTCTTGCCAACGACACGTTTAGTAACTCGAGAGACGGCACGCAAAGCTTCGGCGACCGGATGGAAGATGACATGGAGGAACTTCCCGATTGGACGGAGAACAACCGTTGATGCTGCAACCGCGGCGTTGAAAGCAACAGCAAACCAGACATCAGGGATGAGGCGAACCAAAGCAGCCCACAGGAGACAGGGCAGAGCGCACAACAACGAGATCGCCCATTGAGTCCCATCGAGGCGGGTGATGCTGAAAGCGCGGCCACCAATGGAGATAATCATGATCTGCCCGCCCACCATAATGCAATTGATACCTTGGAACCAGAAATTCCTGTGGATGCCCTCGAAAATGTTGAATTTGTTATCTAAGCGACGACTGTTGAGTTCGTTGAAGATCTGCATCCAGACGAATGAGTTGAAGACGATCGTGTTGAGCTCAATCCTCCGGGCGGGTTCGTAGCTGAAGATGTGCATGCCGGCGAAATAGAGAGTCAAGGTGACCACCAGTTGATAGGTCGCTTGACCTGTGATCATTTTCCACATGGTGGTTGTAACAAGTACCTCCGACTTGGGTTGTGGTGGACGATCCAGAATCTTCTTCGTTGGCGCGTCGGTAGCGAGTGCCAAAGCAGCGAGAGTATCCATGATCAGGTTGACCCAAAGAAGTTGCACGGCAGTAAGGACAGAGTCGTTGGAGTCGTTGGACACGGCAGAGACGAATGTGAGGACCACAGCAGTGATGTTGACGGTGATCTGGAACTGCAAGAATTTCTTGACAGCGTCATTCACCGCTCGTCCCCACATCAGAGCAGTAATCGTCGAGGAGAAGTTGTCATCCAGGAGAATGATTGACGAGGCCTCCTTTGCAACTTCCGTGCCGGCAATACCCATGCTGAAGCCGACATCGGCCATTTTCAGGGCAGGGCCATCGTTGGTACCATCGCCAGTCACTGCGACAGTCTCGCCGAGGTGCTTGAGACGGCCCACCAAGATTCGTTTATCTTCTGGTGATGAGCGAGCCAAAACACGTAACTTGGGTAGAATGCTGTCCATCTCCTCATTACATAGTTGGCGGAATTGAGGGCCTTCCATCACAACGCCTTCTTCGTCTGTGCGGAGGATGCCACATTCAATGGCAATGGCACGAGCGGTTGTGCAGTGGTCACCAGTAACCATACGGACCACCACACCGGAATGTTGACATTGTTGAATCGCTTCAATGACGCCGTCCCGGAGAGGATCATGGATGCCAACGACGCCGACCCATGTCATTTCATGGAAAATACAGGCGAAATCCGCCATCTTTGGGTCCTCCTCCAAAGTCTTCGCCCTCATGGGTGGCCATTGCGGAAAATCTTTGTAGAGAATACCGATAGTGCGGAGTGAATGCCTTGCATACTCTTCGATGGTCGCCGCAGCGTTCTCCTTGTCCTCTGCAGTAAGGTCATCTACGCGAAAATCCTTTTCATAGATGTTGGAGATTGTTTTGGTCGCGTTCGCCAACATAATCTCTGCTGCGCCCTTGACCAAGAGGCGATAGCCGCCATGTTGCTTGATGACAATTCCCATGCATTTTCGGCCAGAGTCGAATGGAATGAGGTGCTTTATCTTGCAGCTGGAGCGTTCCGCGGCCAGACTATCTAGACCCAGATGCTCCTTTGCGAGAGTAAGAAGAGCGACTTCGGTCTTAGAGCCAATGAAGGTTGCGACTCCTTTTTCCTCACCTGCAAACGCAGTGCTGTTCAGTGTACAAGAGAGCTTGAAGAGGTCCTTTACTTCAGCACTAAGCCGCTGGAACATCGTGGCGGTTGGCACAGTTTGTGATCCTTCCTCCGAATGTGAAGAGGCAAATTTCTCATTCGCGCCAATTGTGCCCGCAACCACGGTCATCTTGTTTTGTGTAAGGGTTCCGGTCTTGTCCGAACAAATTGTCGTCGCATTACCCATGGTCTCACAAGCACGAAGCTCGCGCACCAGGTTATTCTCCCTCAACATTCGAGTCGTGGCAAAAGCAAGAGCCAACGTGACCGCCAGAGGCAAACCCTCAGGTACGGCGACGACTATGACGGTAATAGCAACGATGAGGATATCCAAAACTTCCTGCGCTTTCTCAGGACCGGGCCGTGTATCGCCGGATAGATGTCCGGCAAACTTGAACAAGAGGACAAAGAATAGAAGCATCGCAGCTCCGGAGCCAAGTCCGCCGATCCAGTTGGCAAGCTTTCCGAGTTTGACTTGAAGGGGTGTAGGGTCGTTGTCTGTCTGGAGACTCATCAAAATCTTGCCGTAAGAGCTATTGACACCAACACCGGTGACCAGATACGTGCCGACGCCTTCGAGGACCTTGGAACCGCTAATGATAAAGGGATCGAGCTTGGCCGTCGCCGTCCCGTCCTGGATTCGCCGCCAGACTTCGTCCCCAGGGGCCTTCCTCATCTGGTCAGATTCTCCCGTGGCAGATGATTCGTCGCATTTGACTCCGTGACCGGTGATAAAGACGCCGTCTGCTGGAACAGCATCGCCAGGTTCGAGGTGAAGAACATCACCAACTGTGATCTCGTGAACCGAGATCATAATAGATCTACCCGATCGAATGACCTTGACCTCGCGATCGTCTTTCTACCGCGATTGGTCAGTATGCTGTTGATTCAAACCTGAGACGCCAGTCAGGTGAACTTACTCGCTTGTTGAGCTTGACGAATTGTCGCTCCTTCTGCCAGTCATTTGCCGCCCCGACCGTCACGACGACGATGATGGCCACGCAGATGGCCACGCCTTCGACCCAGTCGACACCAGATTCACCGGCAACGCTTTCATAGATACCTAAAGCCAAAGAGATGACTGCTGCAATTGTCAGGAGGATGAGAATTTTGTCGTTGTATGCTCTCCAGATAAGAACCAGAAGTCCATCAGGTTTTCGTTCTGGTAACCGATTATCTCGAAAAACCCGAATCCGATCTTCAAATTGATCTTTGACCTTATGCACCGACGCATGGGTAGTATGTCGAGGAAGAGGTACGTCTGAGAAGGCAGCCTTTCTCGATGCAGCACTCGCAGCGTCATCAAAACTTACGTGACCATCGAGACGGGTCTCGTCCATCGATAACCCAGCAGTTCGGCTTGTTCGTAAGCCCTTCTCGAGCCCCTGGAGACCGCCCACAGCTTTGAACGCTGAGAGAGATTTCGGATTTGTAAGCTTGCTCAACATTCCCGGGGAAAAGGCGAACGGGTTGCCTTCAACGTCAAAGTCCTTTTCATCACCCTTGTCGGGTTGCAAGGCTTCTGCTGGGGGCTTATACTTGAGACTGCTTTTTGAGTAGTCGGTGTCGGTAGTATCGAGGGAAGCCCTGGAACAGCCCCCATGTTGGTTCGGTATCTGTAAGTAGTCGATACCGGTCTTCGTCATGTTTTGTGCCGTTCGTGACCCGGTGTGCGCGCTGTGATTCTGACTTGCTTTGACTAAACGAGGATGGACTTTTACTTGAGGAAATATGAATTGAAAACTCGGAGCAGGATGAGAGATGAGGGTATCTCCAGCGAGTTTATAGCACCACTCGAAGGCTCCCGTGTAGTGTGAGAGTTGCCTCGTCGTTATCTTGACGCTCTGAAAGGGGCTGTGTGAGGGATGTAGACCAAACGAGAGTGGAGTGCATCCGCCGCTGAAAGAAATCCCGTGGGCCTCTAAGCCACAGGATGGTGATGAGTGCTGGGTTTAGACCAAAAGTATGCCTTGCTGGGGATCGCACTAGGTCCCCACAAAATGTCTAGAACTGCCCCCCCCCCAAGTATGGCCGTCGTAGCCGGGAATGTCCTTCTCTGACAGGGCGATCCACATACAGTATGATGATGAACTCATCGTGAAACAGGGATGTCGTCGAGGGAGCACCTTCTCGACCGCCGCTCTGCTGACCTTGAGTATAGGAACCCTTGAGGGATCGAATCACTGGTGAGGGCTGTGCTTTTCAAATTGTCGACAATATTTGTGCAACGGTAAGATCAGACCGACATGCCGATCTGCCTGTTTTCGAGGTGGCGTGCACAGTCTGCGTTCACGGAAAGTGGCAAATGTCAATCGGAAATAGACCATAAGCCATCTTCGATGCCTGCAGGGCGAGGGTGAGAATGTTGCCTTGGCTCATCGGTGCAGCTTCATTCCCGCTGGAAGGCTGCGCTCGCATCCCCCTGCAATGCGCAGCACAATGATTGTCACCACACTCTAACAGACAGGTGGCAACTCCTTGAAGGGAGAAACCAGGCTAGTGTGCCGCCAGTGTGCGAGCCGCCAGTATGAGCACGTAGATATGCAGTGTTCAGATTAACAATCCTAGACAGACACCATGTCGATTTGATACTCTGATACGGTGCTGGAATGCTCCGCTCCGCAACACCGCTTGGCATCATTGATTCATTCCCCTGCCTAATCGACCATGACGACAAGTTGTAAATTACTCCCTAGAGTCCCTCTAGCCAAGTGACGACCACATCAATCTGTTACTCGGTCCGGAAGAGAGGCCCGTGTCGGGAAAGAGCCAAGTCGCGTAACCGGCTGCCATGGCAGGTTAACATCCCCAGTCTCACTGTCTTCATCATAATGCTGTTACATCAGGTTGAGAGAGAGGGTGTATATAAGTGGGTTTCCTCGTTCACGCCTCTCGCTGGTATATCTTCCCCTTCCTCACCCTTACACCTCTCGCGCACCAGACCTCCAGTCCTCCATCCACCCATTGACCTTCCGTCTTGACGATACCCATGGCAAAGCGCGCCGCAAACCGGTGTCTCCCTGAGATGGTCTGCCTGGGTTGTCGATGTCCTAGAACGGAGGCACCGGCTTAGCTTGGAGGGTGGAGGGTCTTAAGTCAGAAGTTATGCGGTGAGATACTTGAAGCTACTGTAAAACCAATACAGTAGACTCTGTTAAGCCCTATGATTGAGTTTTCCCCAGCCTATGTTTGGTGAAGTTGACTCTTCGTGTGGAGCCCCGAAATTATATTCCACGGGTTGCCACTGTCGAACTTGGGTTGAATTCTGGCTCCTTCGGTGGAGAGTGGTTCCATATTCCTGAAATGCCCGGGAAACTTTGAACCGAATACTTCCTGTAGCCATGGGATTGGCCTGGGTCTCTAGGATCCCGTTGTGCATTCCGTGACTTCGGGCGAACTCGAACCCATACGCCGGGAGATAGTTACTGTAGGACAGGATTCTCCAGACTTGAGTTAGACGCCTTCTATGCCCTTAACGCTGCTCGGTCGACGGAAGTGTGGGCCGAGTGGCCATCAGGGATCGGCATCATCGACCACTTCGCTACAACCTCGAGGGGGGTGGACTGATGTCTTCTACGCGTTGACGCGACCTCTAGGCTACGAATGTGGACCAACTTTCCTTGACTCTGTGGGATGCACCGTCGTTATTTCTGCACACGAGTACATAGATGCCCGGACAAGCCCGACGCGACCCTGTTAGGTGCTTGCGTGACAGAACTGCCTTCTCACGGCAAGAATGCTGTTGAGGGAGCTTTTGGACGACGAGCGTCATGTGACAAGCATGGATGTTTCTCCTCCCGCGCCTCGCTCTTGGATGTCTGTTGGACTATTGCACTATTCAGCCACGGGTCCCTGGCGAGGCAAATTAGACTTCCCCCAATGGTGGGTCAAGGACTCCAACACAACGAGCCGACAGCTGGGTAACTTGAAGGAGACTTTCGACGTTGGGGGAAAGGGGGTTATCCTTCGTGGACGTCTGGATAAGGAAGGCGCTATGGTAATCAACAGGAGAGCTTCCCTTTTAGGACATCCTAGTGACGTCCCACGAGGTCATCCACCGTGGAAGCTGGTACTGTATGAAACCTGCGATTATGGCCGTGTGTTACGAAGAAGTCTGCCTCGAAATCCGCCCCGAAGTCTACCTCGTCGAATTCCGATAACGTAGGCGGCCCCGGGAATTTCGTCTGTGTTTTAGCTTTTGACCCTTCGCTACCTAACGTTCACTAGGAGTACGCCCCATTCCGACGGCCGAGTCTTCCGTCCCACTTCCTAGAGCGTGTGCCCCTCGGCCCGACGGACGTTCCTATTGTCCCTGTGCCAGTGGTGGTGCCATTAAAGTAAGTGGGTCGCCCCGGCACAGCAATCAAAAGCCATTTTCATTGGGCAAAGCTTATTCCCCCTTGACTAATAGCAGCTTGGTATCGCTATCCGGACGGGCCTGCTCTAGGTGGGCGATCAGATTCAGAGTGTTGACGAATCATTTGTTTTATTTCCGTACCCTTTGGATTGGTTCCTCATGACGTCACCCTATGTACCTCTTCGGCGCCCCCTCAGTCGCGGCTTCCTCGTCGCGGAAGCTTCCTTTGTCTTCTTCTGCTGCTGGCCCCCGGACACCCGCTTGTACTTGCGATCGATGGCGTAGTGGTGCTTCGTCGTCACCTCCACCTTGCACCACAACTCGACGTCGCTCTTTCTCAGATGCGCGGTCACCTTCGCCGCCCAAC